CACAAAGGTCCAGATATTATCCTTAGGAGCTTAGTCGGGATGCAGAGCGGCTACAGAAGGATGTTTTTAAAAAATGAACCCCAGACCTTGTATGCATAACCAGGGACATCTGCCACTGTGTGTCACCAGGTGTGAGGAAAGGGAACCAAATGGCTGACCTGACACAAACGCACACCGGCGGCTGGCCTCCTTGAAAAAAAAAATCATTCCAGGAGCCAGTCTTGGTTCGGCTACCATAGGTGCTGGCCCCTGGAGGCTGTACCGGGAAAGAAGACCCCTGGATTCTCGGGCCAGCATGCTTGAAGGTCCCCTCCACCCCCCTTGTAAGAAATCCAAGTGCAGGCAAGCCCCGCCCTGGGGAAAAAGAGGACATGTGGCATTGAGTACATTTAGAGCCCTCTAAACATGTCACAAATGTCCGAGATACGGCTGCAGCCCACCCTGGGGACTGCTACCTAGCCTCGGTGTGGCTGACATGGCTTGCTACAAATCACTGGTTCCCACCAGCAAGCAGTAAGATCCCCACATTCCCACATTGCACAGGCTTCTGTCAGAATCATATGCTCTGTGTTATTTATATAGACGAATGTTCAGATGAACCCCAGCCTCCTAGAAAATGTCAATTTCCATAGTGAAAGAGCCCTTCAGAGAGCTGAGTGGTTAAACCCTGGCTGGCCACATGGTAACTACTGACCATAGTATTTCCACCCTGGCTGCACCATTGGTGGCTGGAGAGGTAAAGGTAAGGGAGATGTCCTGCCAGAAGAGAATATTAGTGGTTCTTTACCGAGCTCTGGCAAGTCAATAGTAACTGTAGGGCTCAGTCCATGTGTAAAAGGAGAAAGCCTCCCCATCCCCACCTCCACCCCAGCAAGTAGGCTCTGGCTTGCTTGCTTGCAGCGCCTCAGATTCCAGGATCAAAAGAAAACACGTTATGTTGGGCTGGTGGAGTCGTTGCTTCAAGACTAGGGGTGCAGTAAAAGCCCCCCACCATACCGCACGAGAAGCAGCTATGACCCCTGACGCCAGGCAGATGTAAATGGAGAAGAGGTGGGGGATGAGATACCTCCAGACTGAGTAGGGCACAGCTGGAAGGCTTAGGGAGGTAGGGCAGCAGCCTCACAGAAGAAGATGCCCGACAAGAAAAAGCAGAATATGAGCGGATGAGGAGTGCTGTAGAGGCGAGGCCGCCGGGAGGCCAGGCAAAAGGCCAGCTTCAATCCTCCCACTCACTCTTCCGTTGTTGCATGGCTTCAAGGCTGACAGCCAGGAATAGCATAGCTCCTCCAGTGGTGGTGATTTGAGATAGCAGGGAGACGTGAGTCTCCGAGAGTGTGGCTACCACTCTGAAACTGGGTCTAAGGGCATTGGACTCCTCCGGTGGGCACCAAGTCAGAGCTCCCACCAACCTCTCTGAAGGCTGCTCTTTTGGAGCCAAGTGCAAGACCCCTCCCTGGCCACCGGATCCTCCGGTCGGCTTCCTTTGGGCAGGGTCCTGAATGCGATTGCTGGTGGTTCTCTGTCCTACCTCTGCCATGGGGCCACAGGCGATCACAGAGCCTCTTGTCTAGGGGCAGATTCAGGCAGGACGCAGTACCTGCCTCTCTTGGCCAGCCCCCCCTCACATTGAGAGGTGGTGTGCTGGAGCGGCTCTGACCGCGCTTTCCAACAAGCCATCTTGATTGGCTCCCAGGGCAGTTATGCATATCCACTTTACAAGAACTCCCGTGCTCACAATACTGACAACACACCCAGCGTCAGCAGTCTCTGGAGGACAGAGGGAAGTGTCTGGCTCGGGGACTGCCATGACTCTGAAGCCCTGTGTCCTACATGAGCTTACAGGCCAAATGCACAACAGTCGTCCCGTCC